TGATATGTTTAATTAGATAGATCTGGAAAGGCTAAGGCTATCATCCTCAGTATTTCTAAAGCTTTTGATAAAGTTTGTCATGCTGGTTTTCTCCATCAGCTCTCTTTTTATAGTGTATCAGGTAACATCTTTAATTTTATTGAATTTTTTGTTATCAATCGTAGTAAAAAGTTGCCCTCGTTAGACAGCACTCTTCCTCTTATCTTGTAATTTCAGGGATTTTTTAAGGTTTGATCCTTGACTCCATCCTTCACTTAACATATATTAACAATCTCTTAGAAATTCTCGCATTTAAGGTGGCATTGTTTGCTAATGATACTACTATTTTTTCTAGTCTTAATATGACACGCTCTGATTGCTTGAAGGGGGGATTTGAGCCTGCAAAACAACCTCACCTCTGCTACAGCATGGTGCTCTCATTTGCTGGTAAACTGCTATTTATATCTAAAAAATCTAGATTTTTTTATATTTATAACCGTTTATGTATTTGATGAGTAGGGTGTCCCCAAAAAAAAAAAAAGCTCTCTACTGATTCCCATTCTATGTGACCTAAATAAGTACTAAAAAAAAACTTGACGGTTTTATTTTCACAGGAAGTGCTAGATTTAAAATCTGAGTTTTACTGTTTTAATGTTAAGCTAGCTTAACATTAATAGAAAACACATTTTAGAAAATTAAAACAAAACAATTAGATGGGTAAAAATCATTTCCAATTGTTTTCTACTATTTAACTTGATAGATTATATTTATAAATATGAAAATACAAAAAAAAATACATGAAAACTAATATTTATTAGCAAATTTAAGATTTTATTGCGGTAAAACATTTCTCAGAAAATACAACTTTTTGAACAGTTCCCAAGCTCCTTTTTAGACATAGTCTTAGTCAAGTTTTTTCTAAACTTTTTAACTACAAAAAGTACATTTTGAAGGTGATCTTCATCTCTAGTAGCTGAAATAAAATCTTTAATGAGCTTAATGTTTCTTTCTGCACCATCATTTACAACAGATATGTTTTTGATCCATGCAATAAAATCTAGCAACTGAGGATGGTTAAAAACATCTATAGTATTAAGACTATTATTAAGCCATTCTTTTATACTTGCTCTTGATATTTTAAAATGTTTGAAGAGAAGGTAGCTTTGCTCGGAAATCAACTCAGGTAGCTCTGTGGTCTCTCCAATTTGTACATTTGATGGTTTACAACGCTGAAATTCATTTGGCTCTTCAAACTCAATCAGAGCTTACAGCATTCTTAGCTTTGTTTCAGAAGAAACTTCTTTATTTCCAAAGGAAAAAACACAGAGTTGCGGAGTTAAGTACCACGTATGGCGTCCCATGCTGAGAAGCAAAGCATTTCCAATATTCTTACTAACTTTTCTCAATGCATAGGCTGTCTGGATAGCTTTCAAATCATTGTAGGGAGCCTAAATCCTAAAAAACTTTTTAAAAACCATGGAACATAGCAAATTGCAATGAACAAACTTGCATCCTTCAACTGCAGCATTTCTTTTTCTGTCAAGATATTACTGATATCTTTAGTCATATAAAGAGTCAGGATGTAGATCGCATCTGCTACAAACCTTGCCTCATGGCAGGCGCCAGGTTGATGGAACTTAAAATCTTGTACTTCCACTCCAAGGAAGAAGGAGGCAAGCTTACAAACTATACCATAATCATTCCTTGAAACACTATATCAGTAGTTGCATTAGTCAAAAATGTCTTAGCTTCCTCTGCAACAGTGCGAAAAACAGAGCCAATCTTCAGATCATCTCTTTACCAGTCCAATTTACATAAATTTTTCACTTCATTCACTTTCTCACAGATTTCAGGCCACTTGTTCTTTAGCTTGACATAAAGAGCTCTTCTTGGACCTTTAGTTTTCTCACAAGTAAGGGCAGCCATATAGTGAGATACATGCACTTCATATATGTGTCTCCTACACATTATCTACAAAATTGGTAATTTCAAAACATATGTAAGAATTTGGACTGCTCCATTTACTCTGCCTGTATCGCTTGCAGTTGTATCATAGCATATACCAATGATCTGCTTTTTACATCCGTAATATTCTAAAAGATTGTGCACTTGTTCTGCTTGGTCAACTCCCTTTGAAGAGGGACATTGAACAACACCTAAAAGATGGTCTTCCATGGTATCGTCATCCGGGGAACTCACTGAGACTGCAAGTCGCTCAATTTTTTGAATAATGTTAAGCTCATTGGTAATTTGTTCCAACAGTTTGGTATCAAAATGAAGAATAAGCCGTTGGCCTTTAAGATGATTAGATATTGAAACCCACTCCGAGTCTCCTTCAAGTTCTACATATTTGAACTTTTTTCTATGAAGTGTACTTCGTGAACGCGGTATATCATTAATTTCTATACCTACAGCTTTAAATACTTTACTTAAAATTGCCAGATGAGGTTGTACACCAACATTGAACCTTGTTGCTGGAATAGCAGTACATTCAATGAGCTTTTCAACATTCACTACTAGATTTATCCAATCTCCAGAATTGTACCTAGGTATCATTTTATAATATTTTTCTACCTATTTATAATTATATACTTTTCAATAAAACAGCTTTAGCTTGTGAAAGTTACAACTATGTTATTAAAATAAAACTATACCTGCGTTTCCGACCGTTACCCAGGAAATCATCTTCCTCGCTGATTTCAGAGTCCTCGTTTGACTTTTCTTCCTCACTGCTGAATTGAATTTCTTCTGTCATGGAGTCATGTGACAACAAAACATCATTGATATCTTTTAAGTTTTACAGTCTCTCTAATTCTTTCTCTCTCAACTTATCTAGCTTGTTCTTTCTCCTGTTTGCATCCAGTACTCTTCTACTGTAGTCTTCATCGACTTTTGTTTCCATATATCCTTTCCTATATAACTTCTGGTCTTCATAAAAACTAAGAAATATTTAAATCTATTAAGCCATTTATAAATAAATTAATAATTGTTCTAGTTTTTCTTGGAAGATGACCAAACCATGTAAAGAGTTAAACGTAAATATTTTAAAGGAAATAATATGCTATTACTTAAGTTACTTTTAATTAGAAAAAAAATCTCACTACTAAAAAAAGTGTTATTTAATGAACTTACTTTATATCTTCCAGCTTGGCATCATCTGTTCTCAATCTATCAGCAAGAATATCTTTTTTAAAATTCTTAGTCGAGATGTCAAAAAGCTGATAGAATTCTGTGAGAAAATCTTTATCTAACTTTGATTGCTTATCAAGACTGCTGTTCCAGTTTAGAGAAGACAATTTAATCAATTTCTTGTATTTTAAATTAAGTTTAATGATTTTGGTCTTTATATTGTACCCACAAATCACAAATTTCTTGCCAAACCCAGCATTATCCCAAATTTTTTTAATCCTAGATACCAAGCAAGAATTATCAGGATCTGTACAAACACCATTTTCACCATCGACAAATTGATAGTATCTAAGAATATCACCATTAGATGGAAGCTGTCTCTGAGGTAACTCCCTCAGTGGGTACTTCAATAGGTAAATATACCTCAACCTTTCTGTATTTTTCCGTTTTTTCTTATTCTGTCCTATCATCTTCTTTTTTTTAGCTGTTCTACCCATCTTTATATGAATTTCGAAATAATCAGTTTTTTAACTAAATTTTTACTAAATGTTACACTTGCATCAAAAATCTATGAAGTCGTTATTCCCTCTCGTATAATATTTTATCTAAGTTTACCGTTACGGCTTTTATAACCGTTTACACGAGAATTTCTTCGTGCACAAATTAGATTTCCGTCGTGCTCAAATAATTCCATTTAGAAATTTTTTACTTCAAAAAAAACTTCTAAATGGAGTTATTTGTGAACCAGTCCATGGAGAATTATACCAACTAATAATATTGTCCAGAGGGAAAAATACCAATCGCTAACAATGTTCATAGGGAATGATCCTATTCTTTAACAATATCCTATGGGAATTATTTGTGTACTAATTATTACATCATATTAAAACATATTGAAATACTAGATAGCGCTGTTTTTTAGTAAATACATATATGTGTACAAAACCGTAAAACTCAGAATTTACATCTATCACTTCTAGTCATTAAAAAGTTAAAAAAAAGATTTTGGTAGCTATTTAGGACCTATAGAATGGAGATCAGTTGAGAGCACATGAAAATTTTTAAAAAAGTGTGTTTTTGGGACACCCTTTTGATGAGTCATCACCCTTTATTTTCTAGGATTAACTCTTACTTCTGATCAAAAACGTATTGCAAACATTATTGGACCTACTCTTGCCGCAAACCTCCAACCATTTTTACATCGTCGTAATGTTGTCTTTCTTTTTCTTTTTCACAAACACTATAATGGCCACTAGCCTAGAGAGCTAGCGTCTCTTTTACTATCTACTAAAATTCATTCTCGTTTTACTTGTCATTCAATCAAGTCTTATCTTTTTACTGTGAATGTTAATAAGTGCGTCTAGTTTTTTTTCTTAATAATTGGTTTTACGGAATTCCCTTCCCTTATTTTTTTCTAATTCATATATTTTGCAGTTTTTCAAGTCGTTTGTTAACCTTGATATATAAGTTTTTTTCTACCAGTAACTTGCAACCCTAATAACAGGCTTGCAGCCATATTTGAAGTAAAGATATTTAAAAAAAAAAAAGGAATTGAAAATCACTTTTTGCCTGTTCCACTTCTTTAATGAACCATAAATTGCAGCAAAAAGCTCTAATACAAATATTTTTTAACTGTAAAAGAAAAATTGCAAACAATTGAACCTTAATTTGTGAAATTGATTTTAATATTTATGTAGTTTAAGGGTATTCTACTAGTGTTTAAGGGTAATCTACTAGTGTTTATGGGTAATCTACTAGTGTTTAAGAGCAATCTACTAGTGTTTAAAAGTATTCTACTAGTGTTTAAGGGTAATCTACTTGTGTTTTTTATTTAAGTAGGTACCATTTCTTATTATATATCTTTATAGTTCTGTAATAAAAAAAAAACTAAATTGTCATAAAAAAATGTCGAAAAAAAAAATTTACAAAAACCTTTAAACAACAAATACAACATATAATCATTATTAGAAAATAAAAATTGAAAATCTTTTACTGTCAAATAAGGAAAATGAAAAGGAAGCAGTTAACAAAAAAGTTCAAATAAAGGAAATAAAAAACGTGGCATAAAATTCTAAATACAATTAAAACACCCAAGATATAAATGTTTTTGATAAAGCTACAGTTAATAGAAATGTAAAGAACCGTTCATAATTGATATAACTTTTAACATAAAGCATACAGTAATATTGCTGAATGTGTTTTGTTTTTCGAAACTTAAAGTGCTATTGTAAATTATAATATTCTTAAATCAGATGAGGTAGTTCAAGCTACACATTATTGTAATGGCTTCAAGTTCATGATAAATGAGTTGTTGCAGTTGTCTTTGGAAGTTTAGTAAGTAATGTCTCAGCTGTTGTCGTTGTAGCTTCAGTTGGTGGTTAAAGCTTCAGTTGTTGATGCCTCATCTGTTGTTGTTATAGCTTCAGTTGTAGTGGTTGGAGCTTCAGTTGTAATTGCCTCCATTGTTGTTGTTGACTCATCTGTTGTTGTTATAGGGTCAGTTGTAACGATTGGACCAATTGTAGTAATTGTTTCAGCTGCTGATATTGTAGTTTCAGTTGCAATGGTTGGAGCATCAGTTGTTGTTGTTTCTGCCGTTGTTGTTTCATCTTCAGTTATAGTAGTTAGAAGTTCAGTAGTTTTTGTTTCAGTTGTTATAGTAGTAGATTCAATTGTAATGGTTTGAGCTTCAGTAGTTACCCCAGCAATTGTTGTTATAGCTTCAGTTGTAGTGGTTGGAGCTTCAGTTGTAATTGCCTCCATTGTTGTTGTTGACTCATCTGTTGTTGTTATAGGGTCAGTTGTAACGATGGGACCAATTGTAGTAATTGTTTCAGCTGCTGATATTGTAGTTTCAGTTGCAATGGTTGGAGCATCAGTTGTTGTTGTTTCTGCCGTTGTTGTTTCATCTTCAGTTATAGTAGTTAGAAGTTCAGTAGTTTTTGTTTCAGTTGTTATAGTAGTAGATTCAATTGTAATGGTTAGAGCTTCAGTAGTTACCCCAGCAATTGTTGTTATAGACTCAGTTGTAATGGTTGGAGCCTCAGTTGTTGTTTCAGTTGTTACCGTTGTAGTATCAGTTGTAGTGATTGGAGCTTCAGTAGTAACTGTCTCAGCTGTTGTAGTTGTAACTTCAGTGGTGGTTATTGGATCTTCAGCGATTGTTATTTCAGTAGTTGTAGTTGTAGATTTAGTTGTAGTTGTTGGAATTTCAGTTGTTGTCTCAACTGTTGCTGTTGTATACTCAGTTGAAGTGGTTGGAACTTGAGATGTTGTTGATGTATCTTCAGTTGGAGCGGTTGGAGCATCAGTAGTTGTTGTCGCAGCTGTTGATGGGTAAATGAAAGTTGTAGTATTTGTGTCAATGGTTGTAATAAAACATGATTGAGATACGAGAGAACAAAAACTTGGTCTATAGTATAAATTACAAAAATTTTGTAGACAGGAACAAGAATATTTTTCTAAAAAAAAAAGAAGAAGATTTTTTATTTAAATTTATATATATATATATATATATATATATATATATATATATATATATATATATATATATATATATATTAGGGTTATAACTTAATTGTAAACCAATGTTCCTTAGTCATAAATTGATGAATATTTGTACAAAAGTAATGAAAAAAACAAAAGTTTTATATTTTTGATAAAAATGGTCACACTATCCTAAATTTCGAGTTGTCAAACAATTTTTTTTTTTTTTTATTCCAATTAATTATTATAATTTTTTTTAATTCTAATTATTTTAAATTTAAATTAGCTAATATGTTGTTTTTAAGCATTTCACAGTTTATTTTTAACATCTTAACAATATAATTTACAAATAGATATGAAATTGCAAACTTAATAATTTTACAAATAGAAAAGTTACTGTATATATCGAAAAAAAAATGTTGTGTAGTGTTTAGTTTAAATAAAAGGTAACATACAATTGTTATGCTTGTTAGATAAAATAAGTCGGAGGTTTTTAGTTTTTTTACAAAAGTCAAAATGATCTTAAAGTCACTTGATTATTTGCTCCGTACTTGGGTTCGGACCAATGGCGGATTAATACTTCTTGGGGCCCGGGGCTATTTTTGTTTTTGGAGGCCTTTTTATGGTCCAGAGCCTAAAAATGACTATAAAAAAAAAGATCTAAAATTTTTTGGGGCTCCTAAAGTTGCGGGGCCCGGTGCAATAGCCCTCCCCTCTAGCCCCCTCCATGATCCGGCACTGGTTCGGACTAGTTTAATTGTAACTGTAAAAATTAAATAAAATAACAATTACAATATAATAATATTGTATTGTAATACCAGAGATGCAATTAAAACATTATTTATGGTTATTGTATTGTTGTGAATAAAAACAGTTACAATAACTATTGTATTTTTTTTTTCTAACAATACATTGAAACTTTAAAACTGTTGCATTGTATTGCTGTAATGCAAAACAATCACTATTTTATTTTATTGGTGGGATAAAAAACAATTATACAAGTGCTGTAGTGTATTGTATTACTATTTTAAAGTCTAATAACAATTGTTTTTTATAGTATTTAGAGTCTTTTTTCACGAATTTATTATTATTTGCACACTAGAAAATTTAGTGGTCCCGTGACGCTTGTTTTCAGCAGTCATTTATATATATAAATTTTGTTATTTCGAGCAGTAAAGTAAAGCCAGGAAAGCCATAGATGTATTTAAATTACGTATACTTTATAAATATCAATGTACAGGGCGCTCAAGGCACCCGTTTCTAGCAACCATTAACATATATAATTTTTTTTTATTTTGAGATCAATTATATAACTGTTTAAATAATAATTTATTTAGACTTTAATAATATTTATTCAAAATAATACAAATATATAATTTATCATATGTTTGTAATTAAATAATTATTTAGTTTGTGATTTGAAGTTTTTCTTTTCTTATAATTTTGTCTAAACTAATATTGACATGTCTAAACTAATTGACATTGACGTCTAAACTAATTGATTATATACATAAAGCTCAATAGTAGTAAATCACAAGTATTGTTATTGTTTCTAAATTAAGTTAATACAATAAGAATAGTTATTGTTACTGTTATTGTTTTCATTACAATTACAATAGTCCTCACCCTATTCCATACACTGATTGTTTTTGAGAATTTCCAGTCTCAAAGGTTACTGTATCCAAAACGTTTTCACTATGTATAACGCTTTTCCGTGATTTCGCAAGCTTCTACATACCTTTCGATAATCATTTACATTGTATATTTAGTTAGTAAACCAATTGTCTGGCCATCTGTTAAAGATAAATATTCAAATCTTAAGTCGTATTAATTCTCTTTTCTTTAGTAGACATAAGTTCCAAATGAGTTAGTATTGCTTGGTAATTATATCTTGCATTATTTAATTTAAGTATTTCTGAAACTTCAATTGAACACTTGATAAGATAACCACTTAACATTCTTAAAGACTAATACATTTACAGTCAAAGTGTAGTGACCACCTCTCTAAATGCAGTGTTTTTTCATTTCTTCTTTACGTTTAATAGCTTATTTAATAGTTAAAATGAGTATACCGGATTTGAAGGTGTCTGAATGTTGATTCTATCTTGAGAATACTTTCAGCAAATGGTTGCTGCTTTGCTGCTTAATAACTTCTAAGATTTTACTAATTTAGTTGCAGGTTTTTTTTGCTTTTGTTGGTACTTGTGGACTGTTCTTCTTATTTTCAGACTCTTGATATTCTGTCTTAGATTCGGATGCGTCGTAATTGTAGTTAAAGTCGGCTTCAAAGACTAATTTTTCTTTTAAATAGATCAATCGTTTTTGAGCTAGCAGGATTTCCAGTTATAAACCTGACCTGTGTTTTACTTATAACCTGAAGATGATGCAATCTTTTGTCCTCATTTCAGAGCTGTTCACCATCTTTTTTTGTAAGTCAAAAACTTTATTAAATGGTTTATATTATATTTTCTTTGTTTTATAAAACTTTCTTACGTCTTCAGCAATAAATCCAGCTTGCCTGTACGAATTGAATTGATAAATATTTAAATTTAGGATCTTTTGTAAAAAATTTGCTTTTTTTTTTCTTAATTTACTTTATGTGTTCTCGTCTTTATTTTGATGGTATTTTTCCGGGAAATGATAGTAACCAGCAAATCGGATTTCAAAAGGTATCCTGCTGCTATCTTCCGGTGATTGTTCTTCTAAAAAGAAACAAGTTAAAAACCTTTTTCAAGTTATTAGCAAGTTAAACAAGTTTAAAACCTAGCATTTATAAGGTTGCAATGGCTTGCATATGTTATATAGCTAGTTTCAAAACTTGCATCTGATGGTAAATATCTTGACTTACTTTTAAAGGTATATGAACTATTGGGGAAAATTCGCAAATATTTTATGACATTGGAAGAAATTGTCAACAAATGTTAAAACTGTGATCAGTGATAGTTCTACAAGATGGAACAGCACTTTCTTTATAGTTCGGAGACGTTTCAAAATAATGACATCTATCAATGAATTGCTTGATAATCTTAACATTAATTCATTTGTCAATAAAGAATAGATAATGCTCCAGGATTTTTTCTTGTGAACCTTTTGTTAATAAAACTGATAATCTCTAGACGGATGTACTTTCTCTATCGAATGTTAAATCTTTGATACTTAATTTAGAATGCCATATTGAGCAGTTTGGGGGGTTTGCCCATAAAATACGTTTTTTTTTTCTCCTTGGCCCCGCGTGTGCAATAGCTTTGTTAGGTATTGAGCATACATAAATCAGAGAGTTTACAAAGACATAAATTTTTTAGAGGCCAAAAAATTTGTAAAACGATTTGCCTTCAGCAATTGCATCGGTTTTTCCTTCTAATATTTTTCCAGCAATAAATGCGTTAACGAAATTGAAATTTTTAGCGGCAAAACAGCATATAAAAAAGTTTATTCCAGTTAATAAATAATAATATGAACTCAAAAAATATTTTATTGAAACAAGAAACAGCTCTAAGTGCCAAAATGCTTTAAATATTTGAAAGATGAAACGTATTGTTTACCCACTTATTGCACCACTAGCTAAAGTCCTCATTACAGCTCCTTCAACTGAGGCCTATGTTGAACGGTTTTTTTAATCTATGACCAGCTCACATTGGATGGAGAAATCAAATGTCACCTTTATAAAAAATGCAAGTTTCCTTAAAATTAAACTCTAATTTAGCTTTGATGATGTGCTGATAATCATTTTTCAGTACGTCATTTATTAGCAAAATATATGAATAATGATTAGAGTCAATGTTTACTATTGAAAGAGCTTTTATTAGTGTATACAGAGTCGTGGCTAAGCTCCTTACGCCCGCTCAATTGCCCAATGGCAAGCTAATTTAGGAGAGCCTTTTACAATATTTAAGGAGTTTTTTTTATAGAGTTTCTTTTCTATACCTAATAACGGAAGTTTTCTAAATTTTTATGACCCTAATGGCAGTGTTTAATATTACTTTGGGTGTATCAGTCACGGGTGTGTGCACCAGTCATGGACGGGTTTATTAGTTACGGCACTGGGTGTATAATATATCGTTACATTTAATTAACCTTTCTCATTTTTGTATTTGCTTATAACACTGAGTACTACTTCTGCTAATTGTATAGTTCTATAATATCAATAAATTATATTTTATTAGAACTAGATGACATAAAATTTCAATACAAAAAAAAAAAAAAATTTCACTCAATAAAAACTAGAACTAAAGTTGTTTTTTGAACGAAAACAAAGCTGTTCTATGTTATATGCTTTTTGTAATTAGGTTTGTAATTTTTATAATAGTTCTTTTTATGATTATTACCATCTTATGAAAGTTTACAGTATCTAATTGAAATAATTAATTGACAAATAAATCAAGTTATATCACTATTCACAATGGAACAATCATTAATTTAAAATCAATAACACGGAAACGGGACATAAGTATCAACATAAATAATAATCTGAAATGGAAAGACCAAATCATAATGATAACCAATAAGGCTTATTCAAAACTATTTAGAATGTAGTGGATATTTAAATTCATTGTCTTATTAACTAAATTATATACAACTTTTGTTAGACCCAACTTAGAATTTAGTGCAACATTTGGAATCGACATTTACAAAATAAGATGAAAAACTTGAAAATGTTCAGTAAAGAACCACAAAATTTGTATAAGGTCTCAATCACAAGTCTTACGAAAAACGTTTGTTAAGCTTAGAGTTAAAAAGTTGAAACCAGAAGAATAAGGAGGGACCTCATCCAATATTTTAAAATAAAAACAAATTTGAACAAAGTAAACTAGTGTCATCTAAACTCAAAAATGTTTTTTCAAACCTATTAGGTCCATCTTGATATATTAGAGGAGAATCACACATAACGTACAAAGAGTTTAATTAGCAAAAATTTCTTTAGCAACAAAAGAGTGTCATATTGGAACTATTTACCGAACAACTTAAAATCATCAAA